TGGAAAGCCTGCCAATCTTGAGCCAATTTTTTCCATTTATTAAAGGGCCCATTCTATGGCCAGAGTGATAGCAACTTGAACCACCACAACCTTGCAAGTTAGCGTAGGGTTCTTGGCCACTTCATTTTTTTTTTTTTTTGAGAGGGCATCTCTCATGTTTATTGATCAAATGGTTGTTAACAACAATAAAATTCTGTATAGGGGGGGTCAATGCTCAATGCACAGTCATTAATCCATCTCAAGGCTAATTCTCATCAGTCTCCAATCTTCTGAAGCATAACGAACAAGTTCTTACATGGTGAACGATTTCTTACATAGTGAATAAGTTCTTATATGGTGAACAGTACAAGGGCATTCATCACAGAAACTTTCGGTTTTGATCACGCATTATGAACTATAAACAATCAGGTCAAATATGAATATTCGTTTGATTTTTATACTTGATTCAGAATCCCACATTTCTCCCTTTATTATTATTATTATTTTTATTTTTAATAAAATGCTGAAGTGGTAGGTAGATGCAAGATAAAGTTAGAAAACATAGTTTAGTGTTGTAAGAGAGCAATTGTAGATGATCATGTGGGTGCCTGTAGACTATGTGCTAATCCGAGCTAGACAAGGGCAATAAAACATCCACGGATGCAGAAGCTTTCTCTCAAAACAGCGGGGGGTGAGGTTCTAAGCTTCACCACTGTTGTTCCCTGATTTCTCACCTGATGGCCCCCCTGTGACTGTGCCTGTCTTAGGTTGTTCCTCCCTTGAGGAATCTTACCCGTCTCTGGCTAACCAGTCATCTTCTGGGGCCATACAGGGAAATGTAAAGTTGGTAAGTGAGAGAGAAGCCATATTGTTTGAAAAGGTTAACTTTTTACTTCTTTGCAGATTTATGCCCTGTGGCTTCTATGCCCAGCACTTGTCTTGAGGTATCTTTACCACCTGGAGGAATTATGATACTCGGTAAATTCGATATGACGCACGAATTTTATTTAAGTGTTGTAATTAGGAAGGAAGAAGAAAAGCTATAGAGGTAGCATATGGAAGAAAACATGGGAGGATTGATTATTTCTTTGACATATCTTCTTGTAGAGTACCTTAAGCATGTATAGGTTTTAAACTACTAACTAACTTGTGCACACATATTAAAGTAATAGGAATACGGTGACATAAACTTGGCCACTCCATTTTTACTCAGAATACAGTGCCCTCTCCAAAGGTACATTATCAGTCTGGTCCTAGGAATGAGCCTTCTTGGGCACTTGTGTGATTTTAATTCTAATTGATTTAGAAACTGACAGGATGTTCTGATGAATGCCATTGCATGACCCTCATGTGTGGGAGAGACTGAAGTGGCCTCAGAGCCAAGGCTTCATTCTGAGAAACATCTATGTTTTGTTTCCAAGGCAATAAGGTCATTCAGGGCAGAACAGGAATGACTTTACATGTGAAATATTAATGACAGAAACAATCTGAAAGACAGACCAGAATCACATTTTTTCTTGATTTATCACATGCTATTTTTCATTCTTTTCATTGATCACCTTTTCTGCAAATGCTTTGACAAAGAAAACCCAACCACTAGAGCAATAGAACAGGACAGTCATTCAAAAGAGAGACCTTCATAAATTCAAAGACATAGGCAGGCCCCTTCTAGAAACTCTCATGGATATTTTGCAGATGTTACAAGTTTAAAGGTTTCTACTTTAAGGTCTCATAAGAGACAAATATTTTAAAATGCACATTACAGGTTTCCTTTCCCCATGCAATTCCCTTCCTTCTTTTCCTGCATTTTCAGATGAACATCATAAGTAGAAATGCACCTCTCAACAGACTGCTGTTTCCAGCCAGAGTATACTAAAAGGGGAGATAGATGCAACTTCCATTCTCTCCAAAGGAAATGAATTTATCTCAAGTCAATATCTGGGAAATTCAGCAATTTTCCTAAAGAGTTAAATACAATATGGTGGTAAGAGCAGACCAGCGGATTTGAATCCTGGCTTTCTCCCTTACTAGCTGTGTAGACCTGGGACCCATTCCTTTAACTCTCTGTGCCTTAGTAACCTAATCTGTACCAGGGGACAAAACTGGATCATACCTTAAAAAGTAGTATTATGCTAAATATTTAGAACTATATGTGTATATAGTGAGTATATAATAAGTAAGTGTTATCCATTATTGTAGAAGTTTCAAAATAATCCTCCTGTGCCCATTAGAAAATACAGAATTAGTGGATTTTGCAGACTTTTTGCACAAATTGCAATATCATTTTCTTAAAAACATTTTGTAATAAAATGGTAATGGATGAAAAGGAATAAATGCAATGTGATTTCCTATAAAATGCAATGTGATTTTCAGATTGAGGAAAATAAGTCATTCATTAAGTCTTTAAGATTTAGAAGTACATTCTAGGACACAAGATGAAATGATTCCCTGAAACCTGACTTTAGACAATACACTAGTAAATATATAAAATTTTTAAAAAAAGTAATCATCAATGTGACATGAACCTCTTGTTGACAGTTACAAAGATTAGTATAAACTGGTAATAGTCTCAAAGTAAGATTCAAGTGACCACTAAATTTGTACCTTGAAGCAGAAACATAACTAAAATAAAAAATGGAAGTTCACTCCCTCCCAATAATCAATCCCAAATATCCTCTAGAAATTGACATCTTTTCAACTGGCAATGAACTTGGTGTGTTCCCCTGGCAGTGAATTTTGTGCTTAAAACCTAAGTGGTAGTTTTGTTGTTATGTATCTTCTACCACAATTTAAAAAAAAATTTTTTTTTTGGAAGAAAGGACCTTGGAAAATGGATGAAGTCTTCAAATATTTGTGGGAAATGACTCCCTGTATTACAATGTTGTGAAAGTCAAGCATAAAGTGTTATTATGTCAGAAATTTACAACCTCCCTAAAACACTTGACTCATTATTTATTCTAAGAATTAATGCAGTATTAAAATTAAAAGCTAAGTTTTGTTGAAATAACTTCATTTAAAAAGAAAAACCTAAGTAGTAATTGTACAAGACATAAAGAGAAGTGATTCAAACGATAGCCCCATTTTATGGACTGCCACCAATCGTCTCCCCGAAGCTGCACGCCCTGCTCACAGCCCAGCCCCTCCTCGGGAGCCCGCCCCGAGCGGGTGCCTCCGCCTCAGGCAAGCCATTTGACATCCAGACTTCATTTCTCATCTTCCAAAACGAAAACTTTAGGCTGGTATTGTTAGGAACGTTAGGTAGAAAGATAGACAAGAGCAGCCGTTAAAGGGGAAACTAAGGCTCAAAGAAGAAGCCCCCCAGATAAGGTTCACGGAAAAAAGCACGCAAACGCTGCCTGGCTCCAGGGTCCCTGTGAAGACCACAGAGGCTTACAGGGAGATAACTTCCTCCCCAACCAGATCCCAGCGGGAGCACAATCAAACGAACTAAGAACTGCCCAAATCCCGCCTCAGTGTGAGGAAAGGGCATGCTGTGAGGGAGGGCTGTCTAGAAGGACCTGTAAATAAAATAACCCTTCCTTGTCGGTCAAAGAGGCGCCTCCTAACCAGAATGCAATATATAAGCCTCCCGCCTAACAGATTCAGGCCTTTGTCTACCTTGACTCCGGCCGACTCCTCCCTTGGAGTGTTTGCAAATAAAACTTTCCCTCTGCTTCACTATTGTGCCTCTACCTTTCAATTCTTTGTTGCAGCGAGAACAAGGACTGAGGAAAAACTTAACCTGTAGCAGGATGACCTCTAATATCCCTTGTGGCTCAAACATTCCACAGTCCTATCACTGTGGCAAACTCCAGCCCTGATCCCTGATCCTAAGCCTCTTAAACAAACGTGGAGAAAATTATCATCTTAGGTAACCAAAGAATCCTAGAAATAAGCGTGGACTGTCAAAATATTTTTTTTTCTTGCTGCAGGATTTTACCTCCAGCCAAAGTAATTTTATAAAAAGTTCAACTCAGTATTCAAAAGAGCCATTTCTTTATCCCATAGAGAATTAATCATAGGCAAAAAGGCAGTTTCCCCAGAGAAAGCTTAAGCACACTCCCACTGAGAAGCCCATTCTATTTTAATTTTCCAATTAAAAGAGGCCTGGGAAAACACACATGGTCTTTATCTCATTGAAAATACTATACTTGTTACTCCCTTTCCTCTCTCTGGAAAGAGAGAATAGCCAGCCCAAATGCTCCCCACCACTTCAATTTAATTGCACCCTTAAAAGATAGGCTTTACCTAGGGTCTGTTGGAGACAGCCTGTAATGCTCTTGTTAGTGCCAGGAATGCCACAGATGTCCAGTCACTAACTCAACACCACAGACTGCCTATTTACTGTATCTGTGAAATCTGCTGATGTTGAGAAGAGCTAAAAAGGCACTAAAAAGCTTGTTCTCAGCAAATTAATGGCCACAGTCATTGGAAAACGGAGCCTGATAACCAGGTCTTCTGAAGATCTCTGTTGTAGCCTCTTTTGGTTCTCTTTACCTCTTATCCAACCCCTCCATAACTGTCTTGCCTGGTTATCTGTGGAATGACATTCTAAGCATGACATTAATGGTTGAGATTACCCCCCTGTAATTTAAAAAATGATTATTTTTTGTTGGTATGACAGATACAAATTCCCTCTTATAAACTGTATATTGGGTTGACACTACATTTGAAAAACAGAGTAATTTGAATTGTGTTACTTGTTACAACCATTCAGTTTCTAGTGAGCCATAAACTGACTGAAGGGCAGGAGTAAGAAGGAAATGCAGCAAAGATTCTAGATAATGGCTTGTATTTCATAATGCCCTTTCAATAATATGATAATAAATGATAAAGCTATACCACCAACTTCCTTCACGTACTTGACCATCATCCTGTGTATACACCTGAAGGTTATTATGGATTGATTTCCAAACATATATCCTCCAAGAGCCCATTGATATCTGCCTCATAAAAGCATACATTGCCACAGCTCACTAGGGGAAAGGCTTTCTGTGCTTTTAACCAAAGAGTATGATTACCTTATTGCCTTGAAATCCCTTTGGACCTGGATCCCCTGGAGGTCCACTAATGCCCTGCTCCAGGATGAAAATCAATAATCAGTTTGGTGTATAAAAGGCCAACCAGAAATTAATCATTCATTACAGTCCCAAGAAATCCTGGAGTTAGAACTCAGACTATATAACTCAGAGTTAAGTTGGGTTTACATGCAATTCAGAAATGGAATGAGATAAAATTCCTTATGTCAAATATATAGCTTCTAAAGTAGTAAATTGGCTGAGAGCCAACATGTATTAATGAGGGGTTTGTTCCATAAACCTGTATTTCCAACCTTATTTTATGAGCTGGACTCCTTTTTTTGAAAGATTTAGAATAAATGACTTTTTTAAAAAGTATCTAAGGCATTTATAAACTTGAAATTTTATAGAAATAAAGTTTTCTTTTATTCCTTGGCACTTCAAATGATCCTGAGATAACCAGTTATTGTCCTGCCCTGACACAATTCTAGGCCAAAGCAAAGGAGTTGATGTTTAACTAGCTGCTATCTAGGAAATCCTGGGTAAAGGGAATCATTTTCAGTAGACTTTTTGAAATATTGAAATGAACCCTTCACCCACACACACCCTCCCCCACTGCAATTTTAGATGAGGCAAGTCCCCATACTGGAAAATACTGAGCCAAATTATTTTCTGAAACCCATGGGCTATATCCAACAAATAGATACCTTAAGGAATCAGTCCATGTTATTGAGCATTTAATACTTTTAATTATGGTACAATAAAAATGCAGTTATTTAAATAAAATACATACCTCTTTCATCTGTATTATAGTAGCAATGCAAAAATAGTTCCATCCTGCTTTTAACTACTTTGACTTTATCCATCTTCTTAGACTCTAAATTTTTAACTTTTACTCCTTCAGCTACTCACTAAGTAAACTCATTTACTAGTACCTATCTTCAGGGAGCCTGAATTAGTTATTCAAACATTAAGGCAGTGGTTTCCAAACTCTTTTGCACATTGGAATCACCCGGGAATCTTTAAAAATATTGTAGCCTGTCCCTAGAAATTCTGACTGAATTGGTAAAAGGGTGAAAAGCGGTCAATGGATTTTTTAAAGTTCCCTAGCTGATTCTAATCCAGGCTAAGATTTGGTTTAGCCTCCTTACCTGAAGTCCTCTGGGTCCCTTTGGTCCATATGGTCCTGCGGATCCCTGTGGAATAAAATTAATGTTAAGTTGCTCTAAATATCCATCTTTAAAGTGCAATGATATTAGGTGAAAGAGAAGATAATGTGTTCTCAGTAAGAGCCATTCTTCCCATGTTACCCAAATATCAAAGCCAACAGGTTCATTGTTAACAAAATGATCCTAATAAGCCAACTGGAGGGTCAAATTTCCCTTTAGTAAACAAGCTCCATGAAATCACAGTTTTAGATGTAAGTTCTTGGCCTATATATTGATATTTTGATCAGAGTGAAGGATTTATTTCTGAAGATAGATTCCTTAGAAAGCAGTAAATTTGGTGGACTGTATTTCCTTTCAATAAGTCAATGTCAGTTAAACGAATGACTTAGTGAGTTTTCATGATGTCTAGATCACTCTTTTGCCCACCTCCAAGACATGAAACTTCACAAAACAATGTTTATACTCCACATTCTTCTAATAGAAAAATATTTCAATGTGTTCCATAACTAGGAAATCCATTAAAATGTATTTTTATGAGAGTATAATATAGTCTAGTCTCTCTTTTCTCAGAATTCCATTTTTTTTTCTGCTTAGCAAAATATACCCTGTTCATAATAGACAGACTTTGACAATTATAGGAAAAAGTAAAGAAATAGAAAAAAAAATCACATGGAGGCAACTGCTGTTTAGGCATATTTTCATCCAGTTTTACTCTCAATAGATTTTTTTTCTCCAAACATTTTCTTCGAAGTGTTTATCTAGTTTTGTGTTCTACTTATTTGGTTTTCCATTGTATCAAAAATATTTTTAGGTCATTAAAAATTCTTAGAAAAGTGAATAATATTCAAGAATATGAATCTATAATAATTTACTCATTTCCCTAGTTTTGATAACAATTTAAGTGGTTTCTGATGATTACTATTTTAAGTATCATAATGAGCACCTTTGTGTATAGATTCTTATTCAACTTCTGATTTGTCCCTAAGGATAAGTGCCTGAAGGGGATGACAGATGCAAAGACTATCAGCACATCTAAGGTTTTCTCTCACTCCCTCTTTCCTCTCACACCATATAGGGAAGGAATAAGTGAAACTTTCCTCCATAAAGTTTGCTCAGATTTCCATTCTCACTATCTGAGTAAAGAGAATACATCTGCGTCTTACAAAATCTCATCAACACTAATTAGTTTATACTGTTTCAGTGTTTTGTCAAGATATGTGAAATAATATTTTAATGTTTCAATTTCACTTATCTGGTGGCTAATGTGTTTGGATTTTTTCACTTGCAAACACGTTTCCTCTTTTGTGTCTTTTCATTTGTTCTTTGTATGTTTTACTTATAAACTTGTGTGAACTCATGTCAAAGGAAACTATAATTCATGGACTCTAGACATGCATTTTTTTCGGATTTTTCATCTGACATTGGGATACATATTGCAATCAATTGCATCTTATATTTATAATTGGCAGTATTTTTCTTTTTCATACAGAAAATAATAGGGCATTTGACAGTCATGGCATCTTAGTCAATAAAGTATATTACTCTTTTTAGCCATTTTTATTTCAAATAGTTTTCCCAGTTATTGTTTGACTTTCATTTTTGTTCTACATGTGTTCCATATATTTTGTGCTTAAAACCTAAGTGGTCATTTTGTTGTTATGGAGCTATTCCCACAATTTTTTAAAAAATGTTTTTTTTGAAAGAAAGGACCTTGGAAAATTGATGAAGTACCTTCAAGTCCTTGTCCCTTTCCCACTTACAATTATCCTCCAGGAAGAATCCATTCATTATCACACTTTTCAGTTTTCTGAAAGATAATTATCAAGCCTACATTTTTCAGATCCACCTGACCTTTAAGTCTATAGTAGTTTAGAAGCTTTCAGAAAGTCTCAAGCTATTTAAAGCATTTAGTTATATAAGTCAGTGTCATCTTATCCTCTCTACCTTCTGTCTCAGTTTTCTCTCTTTGACTCTCTCCCATAATTAAAATGTAGGTAATTGGAAGAGTTTAGTATCTTGGTGGCATGGTGTTAATAGTTCTTAACTGTAATGAAACTATTTATTTTTACTCCATACTTTTTTGGATCCTTTATCATCATGTTTCAAATGTACTCTCTATGCACTTCTGGTCCCTTATAGTCCATTTACTTACTTCATCATATTTAATACTGTCTCCAGTTTACATGTCATTCATATTTATTTTTTAAAGAAAGGTAAATACGCACCCAATTGTCTGTGACTTGCTGCATTTTCAAAATGTCGAACCCGATCTATGTCTAATTCTGCCACATGATTTATAGCTATTTCATTAACTTATTTCACAGACTTCATCACTCTACAAAATGCTTGTTCTCAGCATTTATATCTGGAAAATAATTCTGCTTTGACCCTACTGGAGCTTGAACTGAATTTGCTGGCTAAATTTTTCTTTTAACCATAACATTTAGTCCTCAAAGCTCAGGGTGCTGCAAAGCAAAGTCGTCATGGTCCATGAGAAAGGCGTTTGGGGGCTCCATTAACTAAAGTTGAGTATGGCTTTGTTTTCTGCTTCCTTTTTAACAGATGTGAAAACTGAGCCAGTAACTAACTCCAGAACTGAGATCCAACATAACGTCCCAGGAATGTCCCCCTAAGGAAACAACCCCAGCAACATTACAGCTCCTAGTATTTTAAAAACATGTTCCTTACTTTGTCACCTTTTATTCCCGGTTTACCACATTCTCCGCTTTCACCCTAAAAGATAAATACATGAAATAAGAAAGGGCACATTTGCAGTCATTCAGTGTTAGGATTTTCTTTTAGTAAAAAGATTCCCAGCTGAATCTTATGACATAAGCACTCTGATGGGTTATCTACAAGGTTATCCTCAATCCTGGAAGTTATTTAGGCATTGAACTCTGAAAAATTTTATCCACGAGTCACCCTTAACTTGGCAGAATAAAATCAGTGATACTACCTAACAAGATTAATATTTTGGAGACATTGGTTAAATTAAAAGGAATGAAACTAAGGTTTTCTGAGCATCTACCATATAGCATAGGCCCTTCACATATGTGATTTAATTGAATCCACTTTACAGCCCAAGGAGATTACTTTTGCAACTCTTACTTTATAGATGAGAAAATTTAAGCTTAGCAAGATAACTTCCCTTGATCAGATAGTTAGTAAGAAGAATCAGGGCCTGATCCAGGTTTACTCAGAGTCCCTATATTTTCTACAGTGCCATGCTCCAGGCTGAGTACCAATTTTGATCAGTTAGCAGTATTTGCCTAGCAAATTGTGAGAGAATGGTTCTGAGACCATGTCATGACATGGTGGGGCAAGGAGCCATGAAGAATTAGCAAGGTCTACTGGAGGAGAGAGTGGGACATGGTAGCTAGCACGCTGTGAATTTTCCATCATCACACTCTACTATCCTGCCTTTCCTGCAATACTAATGAAAATAAAAAACCTGACATTGAAATTATGCTTTAAAGGTTATTTTTAGAATTATTTTACAGAAATCAACTCAGTTAATCTGACATTAACTGCCAAGGAAGGTATTATTAGCCCAATTTTGTAGATCAAAAATTTGTGATGCAAAAAATTTAAGTAAGTTGTTTGGAAAGAATGAGAATCGGGGCCTCTGCATACTAATCCATTGTGCCAGGCTTTTAAGATTTCTAATAAGAACTAAAAAGTAACAGTCAATTAGAAAAATAACCAAAGTTAGAACTTCCAAAATGTTAACATGCATATGTTTGTTCTGAGCTTCAAAGCAATTCATACTTCTAAGATAAGCAACTCAGTTGGACACATTAGATGATTGATGTAAATGCACATGCTAGCCAATGGCTTTTAGTCCAGCACCCTCACTGCTAGTCTACCTCTGCAGCTGCTTTATTATCCATGTGCTGCTCTAAAGCCTGCTCCTAAAAGTGCCACTACACATGACTCAGGAACTTGCACCAGAATGTACATGAACGCCCTGCTTTATTCATCAAGGAAGTCTTGCTTTGAAAAATAAACATCAGCTGAATTAAATTGTGTATTTAGTGATGTAGTAGATTTATATTCTGCTGCAAGCTTTATCCTTCGCTAGGTAGTCACAAACAGTTCACAGATAGCCAGCCTGCAGACCACACTTCAAATAGCACTGCTCTAAGAAGGGAAATCACAATTGTCACCACCAATTATGGTGGCAAAATATATGCCAAAGCCTTCACATTTTTTCTAATCTCCACAACAGCCCTGCAAAGTATGTCCACTCATAGATAAGGCAAATGAAGCTCAGAACATGAAGTAGCTTGCCCGTGACCACGAGTTTGAGTCTGCTAGACCCCCAAGTGTATGCTCCTCATCAGCTGCCCAAAGATGAGTAAGGCACACTGCCATGGCCTGTAAGGTCCTTTCCACTGACCTTACACTTCTGCCCATGGGGTATTGCTGGCATCTGGAGCAGGAAAGTGAGAGGTACAGTTCTTAGATCCAGCTATGCCTCTGTTCAAAAGCTATCTGTTCTCTCTCTACATCGCATTGTGTGTCAAACTGACCCAGGAAAAACTGAGCTTTCACTTAGAACAAGTTGAACATTTATTTCTGAATGCAAATAGAAAATCACTCTTGAAGAATCAATTAGAAAGCAATTAATTTAATAATGTTGTATGAGAATAAAATGAGTCAGCCACCAAAATATAAAACAGAAAAAGTACTATAAATAGACTCAAAATTCTTTTGGCCAGAATTCACATTCCATTTGTCCAGACAGATTTGTTAGCTATAGGGTCCTAAGGAACAGCATTTGTTTTGGGGGCAGATTTCCATCAATAAAAATATTGTATTCACATTATTTGCCTCTGCAAAGGCGTTTCTCTTTTGGTGAGCTCAGTAATCCCTGAGGAATGGCTACAATTACACAGTTCCAGAGAGCAAATGCTTCAAAAAGCTATGAAAAGATTAGCTCTGTTCCCAGCCTCTGATTTCTGATGCAGCTGCTCCTGGTGAAATTCTGGTTTGAATGAGGATGGTTCAGGGTCACTTTGCTCTAAGAGTTTGTATTTTCCAAATGCGAACTCTTTGGGTGAATCTATAATTCCCAGAAGGTTAAATGAATTTTTTCTCAAAATATATATATATTATATATCTTATAATATATTTACAAATATAAATTTATATAAAGTATATATAATATATACATATAAAAATATACATCTACATATATATACATAAAGCTTTCTGATGTTGGTAATGAGCTCATTGTATAAATCAAGATCAGGAACATGAATAGTTTTCTTCAACTGTATGTATATATATAGAGAGAGAACAGTTTACATTCATGAAATTTTCTTAACTTTCGCATATTATCATTTTATTCCTGCCTCTTCATTATAACACCTTATATTTATATGCCAGTAAATAATTTACAGTACATTGTCCCATCCTTTATTCCATTTGATTCTCCAACTACACTACCCTGTAAACTAGGGAAGCCTGTATCAGTCCCATTCTACATGGATAAAGAAACAGACACTGCAAGATGTTGAGTTGCCCAGGTTCACATGACAAGGTAGAAAATCATGGCATTCCTTACAGCCTTCCCCTTTTATGCCTAACAGTTCCAGTGATCGGGGATATATGTACTCACCTGCATGTCGGTTCACCCCTAGTAGTTTCAAGGCCCAGGGCAAGAGTGCAAGCAGAGGCCCACAACAGTATGTAGCTAGTTGAAAGTTATAAATCAAGCCAATAAACTAGTAAACTTCATATCTTGACAAATATAGCTTCCAAAGGGAGAACACATTAAAGAATTTGGGAATTCCTCAGAGGCTCAGGTGGGAGGACAGCCCAAGTCCCTCCCCTACAGCCCAGTACCCACTTTACTTAGCTCCCTTCCACAGCAAAAGGAGCTGAGCTGTGGGGGTGCATACACAAGGGTGCCCCAGGCAGCACAACAAAGCTCCCTCCGTGGCCCCCTCCCACCTCAAAGCTTCCATTTGGTTTCCCCCCAGGCCTGGAAGTTGGGTATGGGGGAGAGGTTTGTGCACCCATCAGCTTCTGGCCATCTTGTGGGTACTTCTGGGGTCTTGTTTACTCCAAGCATGGTCTAGGAGAGGGCACAGGCCTCTGACTCTGCAGACTCCTGGCTTTTCAGGGAGTCAGGACGTCAGAGGTGACCCAGAACAGGGCTTCCTAAAGTACAGGCTGCCTGCCTAGGTCTGAGGGTTGTGGGACGGAATGAGTAATAGTCACATATCCTAATTTCAGACAGGAAATCTGATAATAAAACTGTGGCAAAAATTTATTAATGAACCATTGAAAACTCTCAAAGGTCCCTGAGATCCAGTCCAACTTGTTAATTTCTTTTGAATCAGTTTGATTTCCTAACTTGCAATTTGCAAATCATCAAAAATAATCTACTAACCCAAACTTCATTTGTTTTTCAAATTTACTCCCCCTGCAAGCTCTACCCAGATGTCTGATTGAATGAAATAAATGGTTCTTTACTGTTCAAGCAAGATAAATCCTCTTTCCCCATGAGAGAGTTCCGATTCTAGGTTTCATAGGAGGTTAAGCACCATGGGAGCTGGACTGCTGCATCCGTTTGCATGTAGGAACTTTACTTTGGATGCCTGTGCTGCATGGCTGTTAAACTGGGGTTTTCTATTAAAAGAATCCATGTTTGCAGAGCTCAGGCTGGATTCTAATGTCAGATATCTTAAGGTGCCATCCACCCATCTCTTAAATTCTATTAGTGTTTTATGTTAACAGAATGAAGAATATATTTAGGAATAGGGAATCCAGATCTACAAAAATAAAGTAACTTTTATTAGCTACATTCGTACAGTTATGTTTCTGTTTTTCTTTCTGAAATTCCTATCTATTTGTTGTTACCAACTTACCTTCTCACCCTTGTACCCAGGAATTCCCTAATTAAAAAGCAAAGAAAAAGTAAAATATTAGAAGGCAAATTTGAAGGAAGTATTTGATGTTTTCCATTTATAAAGTATAATAGAACACATCTGTACAGTCTCAGAAAATAAGGCCCTATAAATGTAAGCGATTTCACTTCTCTTCACACTTACGGAATGTGTATTTCCTAGGGACAAGAAAAGAATATATTTTTCCCTTTATAACATTCTATTCACAGTTCCACATACTTTCTCAAACTCAATGTCTTACCCTTTGGCCCGAAGCTGAAAGAGAGGCTATACACTGAAACTCATTGTAGCAGTGACGATCTATAATGGTCCTTTCAAAATTGTTATATTGACTTTTAAACTATGAAGTATCACAGCTGAGAATGTTCCACAGAGACTGTTAGAGAAATTGGCTTTGAAACTGAGCTGAGACAACGGCCTTTAAAATGTATGTAAATATTTATATCCTTTATGGTCCTCCTTTCAAATTCGGTCTAGAATAGAGAACATCAAGGAAATGAATAGTTCCTTTATCAACCCGAATGAGACAGTGACCTTTAAGTTACTATATTTTATCTCCTGCTAAATAAGAGGCCAGTGCTTCTGCTCCTGTCCTGTGTCACTCTTGGGAATCCTGGACAGCCTTCTCCATTGTGTGGCTGTCCAAAAGTCCTTTAGTAGTAAAATACTGAATGTTAAACACACTGGGAAATAACCAAAGTTAAGCAATAGAAAGTCTTTTTTAAAATAGGATTTCATGTCTTTTTCATGCAATACTTTTCAAGTATGAAAATAAAATTGTAAGACATATTTTCAGTGAGCTGGAGAAATCTATGAATAAACAAACTATTGTTGCAGTTCCATGTGAGTCAGACTACAAAATTTTGTTGTGTATGACATTTTTTTTTTACAAAAGGTAGAAGGGAAAACTTCAGGAAGGAAATAATACTTCTCTCCAATGAGCTGTCACTGAAAAATTGAAGATGAAAGTAGGACTAGTCAACACTATTGTTACACTACAATTTAAACCATTTTAGAAATATTTATTCACATAAATGCCTTAGGTTTCAGTGTTGTGCTTAAAATTAAAGGCCACATTATACACAGTTAAATTAGGGTTCTTTGTCAAAACAGTTCATGTTTGCAGTGCTAATAAAGACTGGACTTCTAATCTCAGGAATCTAGGGGCCCCCTCAACCCTTTTTAACACACAACTGTATTTGAAATTCTGTCATTATATTAAATGACATCAGATTGTATTTAGGAAGGAGCCAGCATAGTTTACAAAAATAAAGGAATATTGCTTCAAATAGTATACTCTTTTCCCCCTGTTTTTCTTTCTGAAATCTCCCATCAACTTACTGTTTGGTTGCTATCAGTTTTCTTTCTTTCTTCCTCCTTTCCTTCCATCCACCCATCCATCCCTCTATCCATCCATCCATCCTTCCTTTCTTTCTTCCTTTTTTCTTTTCAGGGCATTTTAATTACTAGTTTTTAAATATTCAAGTTTAAATTATCCAAAAGTGCACTCATCAATCTCTACCAAATTTATTTCTGACTTTACTTTTTCTATGAATGGAACCACTGTGTTTCAAACTACACAGGATCAAAAGTTTATAACTTCTTTTCTCTCTACTTGCCCCTTACATTCTTTTAATCCAACCAGTGAAAATTTTCAAGAGCTTCCACTGCACTGAGTTTTAAGGCCGCTCTCCCGACCCTGGCCAGCAGGCACTGTATGATCCAGCCCCTGCTGACCTCCACAGCTCGCCCCCCCACCACTCTTCTTCAGGTTCTGCCTTGCGTTCCATTTCTCGAGGCTGCCAAGCTTGTTCCCACCTCAGAGCCTTCGTACCTACTGCTCTTACTGCCTAGAGGGCCCTCATGACCTTGTGTTATGTTTTCCCAACACTTCTTACTGGCTCACATTCTTACTCAATCGTTGCCTATCTATTGCCTCCCCCTGCTAAAACACTTTATGAAGCAGGGACTATCTGTCTTGCTCACTCCTATGTTCCCAGCACCTAAAAGAGGGCCTGGCACATAGCAAGTGCTCAATAAATATCTGTTGAATGTATGAGTTAGAGTTAGTCACCACATCCTATCATTTCTACCCTTTCATCATTCTTCCAATGTTGTCTTCCTTTCTATTTTGTATTCCTTTCTATTCTATCACTGTAACCCAATTCTGTCCAATATAATGTGAGCCATATATATGTAATTTTAAGTTCCTTAGTAACCACATTAAAGGAAGCAACAATGAACAGGTGAAATTAATTTTGAATAATGTATTTTATTTATCCCAATAGGTCTAAAATACTGTCACTTCAACAATTGACCAGTATAAATAATAACCAGTGAGATATTTTACACTCTTTTTGGTACCACGTCATCACAGTCGGGTGGGTGTTTTACTCCTACAGCACACCACGTTTCAACTGCTCAGTAAACGCATGAGGCTGGTGGCTTCCATGGGCAAGGAAGCGGGAGCCAGTGTCCCTGTTACCTTTCATACAGGCTGTTAACAGTAAACCACTCTAAGCACTCCCTGCTTCTGCTGGTTTCCCCTTCAGTTTCTCATTTAGAGCCATGCCAGATGAGTGTTCCAGACACAGCTCTTGTGTCCTGCACCTTATCTAAAACCTCAGGTGGTGCCCATTACCCAGCAAAGCCCAGGCCTTACAGTGGCACAGAGTACCCGCTCTGGCCTTCAGGCCGCGTCTGACAATACTCCTTTTTAGGCACCCCTCTCACCATTCTGAACACATCACAGTGCCTCAGGTCGCTGCTTACAGCACTCTCCATTTGTCCTCTTCCACTTTTCTGTTCTGTCCTGTCACAGTCCTATCCTCTTTAGGGGTCAATCATATAAAACCTACCCTGATAGTTCCAATCTCCTTTGTGCCCCTAACACTTTGCGCATGCAGCTTTTATAATATTTTGACATTCTGCTTCATATTGCACTTACTTTAAATATCTTCTCTCTCCTAGGAGATAATTAACTTTTCAGAAATATGAGTGCTTTGTCTTAACTTTATCTTCATGTAATACTATGCTTTATATGTAAAAGACATGTTTCTGGAATGAATAATACAAATTTCTGAGTATATTTCCAATGAAATTAAAAAACCTTTTATCAAAAATTTTCATGAAGTTGATTAAAAAATGCCAAGAGGACAGCTTTTAAAACCTCTGGGTCTGAGTCCTGAGCTTCCACCCACAGGGACAAGCCTGTGGAGAAATGTGCCATGGCATCCTTTTTATTTACTATATGTTTCTCTGCTATTAGCTACACAACTGCAATTCCCCAGAAAAAAATGCAAATGAAGAAATTTACTGTGTTTATTTCTCTGTCTCTGATACCTTCTCATGTTAGGGGTAATAAACCAACTAGAATGATCTCTCTTTTTGTCTGTATATTTGGATTTACAAAAGCATAGTTTAGATAATGTATTTTGAATAATGTATTTCATTTATCCCAATAGGTCTAAAATACTGTCACTTCAACATGTGACCAGTATAAATAATAACCAGTGAGATATTTATGCTCTCAGAATTTTAACTTATTCTTTCTCCAAAAAAGCCCACAAAAAGTGAAGCAGTATATATATATACATACATATATATATATGTATGTGTATACACACACTATATATTTTTGAAACGTTCACAAATCTCAAATTAAGTATGAAGGACTGTCATGTGGTTGACCACCCTGTCCAGTGGTCACCCCTGGAGAGCAGAGTATTTCCCCCTCGCATTTCCACTTCTAAGATCATATCTGTCTGACTGGCTGTCTGAGTCATCAAGCGTACATGTAGTTATAAATCATTTTTGCACTTGTACTATAGGGGTCAAAAAGATTAATTACAGAATCTTAGCAGACTGAGATGACTTTCTCTGGAAAACATTCCAGTAATGTACGTACCCCTGGGCCTCTTTCTCCAGGTTCCCCTTTTTGAGCATCACCCTGTGACAAACAAAAAACTCAGTCAACATTCCACAGCACTGAAAAGTGACTGATTGCTCCATAAAATGCATTATTCAGAATTCCCAGATTAATAGGTTAACTTAATGGTGAAAAAATTTTTGCCCTTTACCAATGGCATTTTCACCATGCAGTCTAGGGAAGAAAATGGCAGCTCAGATACTCTTTGCCCTTTGAAGCAAAGCCAGATGTGTAGGGCAGAGAATCCAGGTACATTTTCACAGCTTAGGCTAAGTCTTGCATCCTAGTTTAACAATAGAGCCATTGTTCTCAAATACAGCATTGTATCAAATTGGAGTCCGCAACTTTGTCTTCTTGCCATGGGGCTTTGGAATGGTTTCCAAAATTTCCACAAGAGTGACTGCTTGATTTTAGCAAGACTTAGGAAAACATATCATGTGGCACAAAATTACAAGCCAAATAAATATCATGTGGAGAGAAGGAAAAGATGGCAGCATGAGTAGGGTGGTGGAAATCTCCTCCCCAAACCATATATATTATGAAAATACAGCAAATACAACTATTCCTAAAAGAGTGCCCAGAAGATAGAGTACACCAGCCAGGCTACATCTGCGAGAACCCAACATCTCACAGAAAAGGGTAAGATACAAAGCCATGACCGCTGGGCCCCGAGCACTCCCCCCACCCCATCTCACCAGCGGGAAGCAAAGAATCAGAGTGGGGAAGGAGTGGAAGCACAGGACTGCTAAATAACCAGCCCAAGAAATCTGCCCCGGGAGCACAGACACACATTGCATGGTGCTCTCAATATCAGAGGAGTGGAAAAGCAAAATCTAAGACTAAGACTGAGAACAGGTTCCCACAGCCAGCTGTTCTGGGACAAAAGAAAAGCAGGTGCTTTAAAAGTCTTAAAGGGACAAGGGTTTAACAGGTGGACAAAATCGTCCTGGCACACTCAGCCCAGCAGGCTAGGAACTTCAGGTGCCCTAACCCACTGGGTGGCACCACAGCTCCAAGGCCTCTCACAGCAATGGGCATCCTGCCATTCCTTCCCCAGAACAGCACTGCAAGCAAACTGGCTGACCCACCATTGCTGCAGAACAGCTGGGGAGCAGCCCTGCCTACAGCAACAACACAGCTTGACATGGAGGCTTCTCCCTGTGCGTGGCTAACTGGTCCAGACCCAGAGGGTGCTCCCTGCACATGGTTGACCAGCACAGGCAGTGCAGATGGGTGCAGAGTCTGGAAGGCATGAAGGGGCTTTGTTCTCACTGCAGAACATGCGCCACTGGCCTGCAACTCCTGCCAGTGCCCTAGCCCATCCCAAGGGCTTTCCTGCGCATGGAAATTTAGGGGATTAAACCAGAGGCTGCCCCAGTGCACAGTTGAACAGCACAGACAGAGGAGACAGGCGCAGAGACCAAGAAGCATGAAGGGGCCATGTCATTGCAGCAGACACATGTGCTGTTGGCCTGCGACCTCTGCCAGTGCCCCAGGCCATCCTACATGTCACCCTGCCCACAGCAGCCTAGGGAATTAACCCAGACACTGCTCCCTGTGTGTGGTTAACCAGCACAGACAGCAGAGACAGGCAAGGTGACCGACAAGCAGGAAGGGACTTTGTTCTCCCAGCTGACACATGCACCATCAAAAGGCAGAAGAACCTTGTTCAGTCCAAAATCCCTCAAACACCAGAGAGAGGGCTTGGTAAGACTGAAATCACCAATCTTCCTGCAAAATAATTCAAAATAAAAGCCATAAGCATGCTGATGGAGCTACAGAGAAATATTCAAGAGCTAAGGGATGAATTCAGGAGGGACATAACAGAAATGAAACAAACGATGAAAGGATTTAAGAGCAGCCTGGATGAGGTGGAAGAGACTGTTAATAGAATAGAAATCAGAGAACAGGAATAGAGAGAAGCTGAGGCAGAGAGAGATAAAAGGATCTCCAGGAATGAAAGAATATTAAGAGAACTATGTGATCAATCCAAATGGAACAATATTTGCATTATAAGGGGTACTAGAAGAAGAAGAGAAAGAAAAAGGGATAGAAAGTGTCATTGAAGAAATAATTGCTGAAAACTTCCCATCTGGGGAAAGAAATAGTCTCCCAGACCATGGAAGTCCACAGAACTTCTAACACAAGGGACCCAAGGAGGACAACACCAAAACATATAATAATTAAAATGGCAAAGATCAAAGACAATGACAGAGTATTAAAGGCAGACAGAGAGAGAAAAAAGATTACCTACAAAGGAAAATCCATCAGGCTATCATCAGACTTCCCAGAAAGGAATGGCATGATATATTCAATGCAATGAAAAAAAAGGGCCTTGAACCAAGAGTACTGTATCCAGCAATATTATCATTTAAATTTTAAGGAGGGATTAAACAATTCCCAGATAAACAAAAGGTGAGGGGATTTATCTCCCACAAACCATCTCTACAATGTATTTTAAAGGGACTGCTCTAGATGGAAGTAGGCCTAAGGCTAAATAGCTTTCACCTGAGAAAATAAAACCACAGCAAAGAAAGTAGACTAACCAAATACTAACTAAATGCAAAATAAAATCAGCTATCCACAAATTCAGTCACAGGAAACACAAAGAGTACAGATTAAAACACCTAACATTTAAAGAGTGGAGAAGGAAGAAAAAGAAAGGAGAGAAATAAAGAATCATCAGACTGTGTTTATAATAGCATAATAAGTGAGTTAAGTTAGATAGTTAGATAGTAAAGAAGCTGCCCTTGAACCTTTGATAACAACGAATCTAAAGCCTGCTATGGCAATAAGTACATATCTATTGATAATTACCCTAAGTATAAATGCACTGAAGGCAACAATCAAGACACAGAGTAATAGAATAGATAAAAAAGCAAGACCCATCTGTATGCTGCCTACAAGAGACTCACTTCAAACCCAAAGACATACACAGACTAAAAGTGAAGGGATGGAAAAAAATATTTCATGCAAACAATAGGGAGAAAAAAGCAGGTGTTGTGTCAGACAAAATAGATTTCAAAACAAAGAAAGTAACAAGAGACAAAGAAGGACATTACATGATGATAAAGGGGTCAGTCCAACAAGAGGATATACCATTATAAATATCTATGCAACCAACACAGGAGCACCTACAAATGTGAAACAAATACTAACAGAATTAAAGGAGGAAACAGAATGCAATGCATTCATTTAGGAGACTTCAACACACCATTCACTCCAAATGACAGATCAACCAGACAAAAAATAGGTAATGACACAGAGGCACTAAACAACACATTAGAACAGATGAACCTAACAGACATCTATAGAATATTTCAGCCAAAAGCAGCAGGATACAAATTCTTCTCAAGTACACATTGAACATTTCTCAGAATAGGCCACATACTAGGCCACAAAAAGAGCCTCAGTAAATTCAAAAAGATTGAAATTCTACCAACCAACTTCTCAGATCACAAAGGTATAAAACTAGAAATAAATTGTACAAAGAAATAAAAAACGTTCACAAATATATGGAGGTTTAACAACATGCTCCAAAATAATCAATGGATCAATGACCAAATTAAAACAGAGATTAAGCAGTACATGGAGACAAATGAAAACAACAGCACAATGCCCCAACTTCTGTGGGACATAGCATGGCAGTTCTAAGAGGAATGTATATAGCAGTCCCGACCTATATAAAGAAGGAAGAACAATCCCACATGAATAGTCTAAATTCACAATTACTGAAACTAGAGAAAGAAAAACAAATGAGGCCCAAAGTCAGCAGAAGGAGGGACAGAATAAAGATCACAGAAGAAATAAATAAAATTGAGAAGAATAAAACAATAGAAAAAAATCAGTGAAACCAAGAGATGGTTCTTTGAGAAAATAAACAAAATAGATAAATCCCTAGCCAGACTTATTTAGAGAAAAAGAGAATCTACACATATAAACAGAATCAGGAATGAGAAAGGAAATATCACGATGGACACCACAGAAATACAAAGAATTATTAGAGAATACTATGAAAATCTATATGCTAACAAGCTGGATAACCTAGAGGAAATAGACAACTTTCTAGAAAAATACAACCTTCCAAGACTACAAGGAAGAAACAGAAAATCTAAACAGACCGATTACCAGCAACGAAGTTGAATCAGTAATCTAAAAACTACCCAAGAACAAAACACCCGGGCAAGATGTATTCACTGCTGAATTTTATCAGACATATAGAGAAGACATAATACCCATTCTCCTTAAAGTTTTTCAAAAAATAGAAGAGGAGGGAATACTTCCAAAGTCATTCTATGAAGCCAGCATCACTCTAATACCAAAACCAGGCAAAGACACCAC